GCAGGCAATCATGTCCAGGAGCCACGTAGCTGGTAGTGAGCCCACTACTAGCTAGGGCTTTTTGTGTGCTTCCACTTACACAACAGGGTTAGTGATACTTAGGGACTATTATTTGTCTGTAACATGGGCCTAGATGATGCATTTTCTTGGTGGGTAGGAAGTCTTATTCCTTCCACCCTGAGAACAGAAGACCTGTTGTAAGTTAGAGGTGGGAAATCTGGGGAGACAAGACCTTCCCTAGGCAAGTTAACAGTATTATTTAGTGGTGGGTCAACCTCAGCTTGTGTGCAGAGAGAGGGAGGCTGCAGAGGCTGCTCAGAGAGCCTGGGCCTCCTAGCCTGTTTGTGTTTGTATCTGGTTGCTATGAGGGGGAGCTTGAAGAATCTGGTGGGTTAGCATTTCTCATGACAACTTAACTGGGCATCTTCTCAGCTTTATTACTCCCTGAGGGGATCCGTGGAACACAGGCATTCAGGACTCCCTCACCCCACACTCCCCTGGCTTCTGGCCCCAAATGTGCTCTGACTTCCAGAAAGCACCCAGACATGGGAATGGGAACAAGGCTGGCCTACAACACCCTACACACATTTCTATCTGGCCAGGCTGGGGGTGGGGGTGGCAGGAGGGAGGAGAGAGGGGAGAAGGGAACAGCTGTGTGTGGATTCTCCAGCTGGAAACTCCACCTCCAGCTCCAGAAAAGACTCCCAGGCTCTCTGGGGACTATCTGTTGTTCATTTCAATGCTTTAACTCTTCCTGCCCCAGCTGGCTGGTTTGGAGGAAAGGTAAATGGCCATGAGGAATTCAGCCAGAGACCAACTATAGCCATCGTTCTGGGGAGCAGGCTGAACTCCTGGGGTATTCAGCCCCTTCAAATCCCCACAGTCTTTAGTTACCTTTCCTGGCTTCAGCTTGGAGAAAATTCTGAGACTGGAGGCCCAATGCTTGTCCTGTGAGGGTTCAGAAGACAGACACTGTATGGCAAACCGGGTACATCATTGCATTTAGAATCAAGAGGATCGGGGCTCAAATCATGGCTCTACTGCCGGCTACCTGGATGACCCTGGGTAAGTCATTTCTGGCCCTCTGTTTCCTCATTCATAAAAAAAGAGCACTGAACTAGATGACTTCTCAGGTTGTTTCCAGCTTTAATATTCTATGAATTTAGGAAACTATACAACTACAGAATGTTGGAACTAATCAGGACCTGTAGAGATCATGGAGCTCAAATACCCCCATTTTACAGAGAAAGAAACAGAGACCAAACAGGGTACCAACATCTGCCCAGGCTCCCAGCATCAGTTAGCAAATGAGACAAAATCCAAGGCTCCCCACCTCCTAGGTCTAGTGACTCTGCTGACTCTGGAGCTCAGGAGCACTGTCACCTCCCAGTGGATTCTGAGTAAGTCATCAACATCAGTGATGGCATGATGCAGTGGAAAGACCTTTAGACCTGGGGCTGTGGGGAGAGCCTTGTTTCCCCATCTGTAAAATGGGGATGATCCTACTCATGAAATAAAACTGAAAGTACTATAGAATTACAATTACTACCCATACCCACCTTGAGCTCCCTCCCACTTTCTCCAATTTAAGATTATTTCTTACACTTCTATTGTCATAGTTAATGGAATGTCAAATAAAGACTCAAAACAGCAACACTCTCCAAATTCTAGAGATCAAGCTCTCTGCATTCTTAGATATACTCTCTGCTTTTCCCTGAACCTCAAGGGTCCCCTCAAGGTCATGGCAATCTTTAGAAATGAGCCCTACATAGCTGGACGAAGGCATTCCGGGTATTCATGCCCCCAGGCCGCAATGTCTGATGCTGCTGCCATCATTCTCCTGATTACCTCTGCTGCGCTTTCTTGGGCTTCCCCATTCCTTTCTCATAGCCCCAACCTGCCCCACTTCCTAGTTCTTACACTTCATACCTCCTGGCATTGTGCTGAAAGCCCTGGCTATGTCTGGTGAACAAGAACTGTCTTTAGTCTGGGGCAGATCCCAACAAGACTCCAAGATTACAGAATCACGGAATCTCCGAGCTAGAAGGACCTCGGGTCATCCGATCCAGATCCTACATGAAGCAGGAATCTTCTCTACAACGTCAATAAGGTGGTTTCTCAACCTCTTCTTGAATAAATACATCCAGTGACAATGAATTCATTATTTCCTAAGTAATGCCATCCAACTATTAAACAGCTCTAATTGTTAGTAAGTGCCTTCTTCTCCTGACCTTTCCACTCGCTGGCCCTAGCTCTTCCCTCTGAAGCCCAGCAGAAAACATTCAATCCTCTTTCACACGATGGTCCCTTCAGCTAACTTAAAGATGGCGTACCTTAAATTCTGCTCCCCTATACCTTTCCCCTCCCCACCAACAATTTTCTTTTCTTTGGGCTAAACATCACTTGAGTTCCCTCAACCAACACACAGATGACTCTATTTCAAGTCATCTCATTACCCTGGATGTTTTTTTCTAGAGGTATTCCAGCCTGTTGACACCCTCTTACAATGAGATGCCTGGAAATGACAAAATGCTTTAGCGGTAACAGGACTATCAAACTTTAGTCTGAACACAAGACCTCTATTATTAAATCACCATAAGACAGATTAGCTTTATTGGCTCCCATGTCTCTCTGCTGACTAACATTGAGCTTTTAGCCAATTAACACACTTTAGTCTTCTTCCAAACCCCATGGACACTTGCTCAGCTATAACTCCCTCATCTTTAGTTAGTACAGTTGATTTTTTCACCCTAAGATTAGAATTTTACATTTATCCCTATTAAATTTAATGTTGTTAAATTCAATCAGTACCCAGTCACCAAGTCTGACTCTCTAAGCAGCAAGGCACTCCTAAAAGTTCATAGGATCAAACCACCAAAGGGATACTTCACAGAGCCAGACAAAATAATAACAAAATTCACTCAGAGGAATAAGAGACAGAATACCCAGAAAAAAAATGAAAAATGGTAAGAATGAAAGAGGAATAGTACTTCTAGACGACCACCACCCATATTACAAAATAATAATCATCAAAACTTTGTTACTGTCTAAAAAAAAAATGGAATAAACTATACAAGGATGAAACAGAAATAACAATTCAATAACAGTATTTGACAAACATAAAAACAAATTTTTATGGAAAAAATTTAGGGAAGAATTCTCTAACAAGAATTTCTGGGAAAACTGTAAAGTAATCTGTCATAAATTAGGCTTATGCCAATAATGTTATGCCACACAACAAATTCAAAATGGATATGTAATCTCAATATTAAAGATCATACCATAAAAAAATTTGGGAGAAGCAACTCATATATAATATCTTTCATAGGTATGACTAGAAGGTAAATTCTTATCTGAACATAGGACAGAGGGTGATTAAAAATATTAATAACTTTTTATTATGTGAAATTGAAAAGCTTTCACACGAACAAAATTTAATGCAAATACTGCAGGTAAGAAGGTAAGTAGTTGACAATGAAAACATTCTTGTATCAAATATCTCTGACAAGGGTCTAATATCCAAGATATTTGTTGTTGTTTAATTGTGTTGGACTCTTTGTGACCCCATTTTTGGGGGTTTTCTTGGCAGAGATACTAGAATGGTTTGCCGTTTCCTTCTCCAGCTCATTTTATACATGAGGAAACTGAGGCAAACAAGGTGAAGTGACTTGCCCAGGGTCACTCAGGAAGATGAGTCTTTCTGATTCCAGGCCTGGCATTCTATCCACAGTGCCACTTCGCTGTCCCTCCGAGATATACAGATAAGTAAGAAACATAAGGCCAAAGACAATTCCCCAAAAGACAGACTGTCAAAGGAAAAGCACAAACAGTGCTCAAAAGAACCACAAACTATTAACAAGTGCATGATAGAATGCCCTAAAATCACTAATATTAAGAAAATGCAAATTAAAAAGAACTCTGAGGTTTCACTTCAAACCCAACAAACTAGCACAAATAATAAATGGTGGGAATTGTCAATTCTGGAGGTTGTTGCAGAAAGCCAAGCTCACTAATGCACTGCTGATCAAGCTATGAACTGGTCCAACCGGTCTGGAAAGCAATTCAAAGAGAATGACTAAAAGATCCATGTCCTTTGACCTAGAGATCTATTGCTAGAAATATACCCAAAGGAGGTCAATGGCAAAAAGAAAGGCCCCACACACAACAAAATATTTATAGCAGCACTTTTTGTGGCAGCAAAGAAATGGAAACAAAGTGGATGCCCATTGAGCCTGGGAAGTAGCTAAACAAATGGAGGTCCATGAATGTAGCTGAATATCACTGTGCTGTAAGAAGTGTTAAATGTGATGAAGACAGAGATAGGAAGACACATGAACTGATGCAAAATGAAATAAGCAGAACTTTGAAAACAAAACGCCCAGTGACTACAGCAACATAAATAGAAAGAACGACTACAACAAAATAATCAAAACTGAAGGCCATGAAATTATAACGACCAAGCTTAGTCAGGCCCAGAGAAGAAATGGAAGAAGGCCCTTCTTTCCACTTTTTTGTTGTTGCAGAAGTAGGGGACTATGGATGCGAAACACCACAGATATCAGATGCCTTTTCTGACATGTTGGTTTTACCTTTCCTCCCCGCCCCCCTTCTTTTTATTCCTTATTAGAAGGAATGATTCTCTGGGAAGGGCACAGGAAAGGGACACACTGGGAAATGTAGGTGATAAAAAAACAAAACATATCAACAAAATGTATTTTAAAATTTTAAGAGTTGTTAGGACCATAAATCTTGAACTAGAAAGGATTTCTGAGGGCATCAAACCCAATCCCTTACTTTTATAAATAAAGAAACTGAGGCCTATGGCAAGTAAATAACTTAGCATCATAGACGAAATCTGTACCCAAGCCTTTGAATTTGGCCACAGGAATGAGAAGCAGATCTTCCTCCTGACCCCTTCCCTACCCCACAATCCCCCCAGCCCAGCCCCTTCCCTGCATTCTACCAGTGCTCCTCATACTTCCTTACTGAGCCACGTGTACCTGAATGGGCTGCATCTTCAGTTCCTTTTGGGTCTCCTTCACCTCCTTTGGGGGCCGCTGCTGCACGATGTACTCATAGGTGGTTAGTTTGTGCCATACTGGAGAAGTGGGACAGGAGAGACACTTCACTGAGGGCCCAGGATAAGCCTGTTGGCTCCCTCCCTATTACAGAGGAGAAACAGCTGTCCATTGGGCTATAAAGACTTGAGCAAGGAGAAATCAGGCAGTGGCCTGCACTGAGAATCACCCTTAGTGGGATGAAGGAGGCCCAGGAAGTTCAGGGGGAGCCTTAGTCTGTAACACCATATGTCTAAGGTTTTCCTTTGGTTCTAAGGGAAAGTCTAAGGCTTTCCCTTTGTTCAGAGGCAGCAGAGGAATATGTGGAAAGGGCAAGATCTGCCAATGGACAAGGCGATAGGAATAGGATAGCTATGGACTAATTGTGTTTATGTAAGTACATCTCTGGGCCTTTTTTCTTTTATTAAAACCAACTGAAACATCCCCCTTTTTCCCCCTAACACTGCTTAGTATCCAGGAAGACAGGAGTCTATGGGCCACCCCCTACTTTGCATCTTGGAGATGACTTTGCATGTGAGAAACAGGCCTAACCAATGGTCCCTGGCTGATGGACACCAGAAGCCTTGGCTGACATCCCAAGGCCACTGTTGTTGGCCGCAACTCCCGAAGAACTCTGGGAGCCCACGAGCGCTGTCCTGGTGCTACTCGACAGTTGACAGTCTCATAAAGAGGCTCATAGTTCTAAATCCCACAGAGAGGGGTGCCATCATGTGGGGAACAGTGTAACTGCAACAGAAACACAACTTGGGGAGCAAAGACAGGGAGGGTGTGGCCTCTTACCATCAAGAAACCGTCCTTTATAGACTTGTAGAATGTCTGAGCTAATGACAGAGCTGGAAGGGGCCTTGGAACAAAGAATGTCAGTGCACAGAAGAGAAACTACCAGAACTGGAAGGGACCTTTCACACTATCTATTTCAACCCTCTTATTTTACACATGAGGAAACTGAGGCCAAGAGGGGAAGTAACTTGCTCAAGTTCCTATGGCAGGGGAGCAGCAGCCCCAGGAGTAGCTACAAACCCAAGGATCTCTCCACTAGATTATCCTGGGTTTGCTGTGGGGGGTTGGATGGGTGTAGGTTATCGAGAGAGGACCTGAATCTCTTCACCTCCCCTTTCCCCGCTCTCCTCACCCAAGACAAATGGCCTCGGGCCCCCAAAAGAGCCAGCTGGGCAGACTAGAAGCTCCTAATGCCGCCAGACTAGGGCCAGGACAGGGACGGAACAATGCAAATGCCAAGTTACATACTGAGATAAATGTGAAAGCAGAGGAGATGTCCCAACAACACCACAGACAGAAGGCCCAGCAGGATGAGGAGGGCAGCCAAGGCAAGGATGGCAGGGGCCTGGGTCTCCACGGGGGCCGCTGGGAGAAACACGAACCATACGTCTGTGTGGTTCTTCAGGACTGAAAGACAAACATGGGACATTGCTGTCTGGGCTCCTGAGCTGGCTCAGAGAACTTTGAGGAAGGACAGAAGGAGCCTACAGTCCCAACGGGACTGTAGCTCCCCATCAGTGGCGGCTCCCAGTACAATCCCCCACTGAAAGGGAATGTTCTCAGAATATAAGAAGAGCTTCACATTAAAGACTCCAGCAGGCTCCATGCCTGTGCCTCAAGGTCTGTCTGCCGCTGCTGTCTCTGTTTCCAGACTTCTCCCCTTCACACACTGCCCAGTCCAGCTTGACTGGCCCACTCTCCCTCCTCTGAAGATGGCCTGCTCCTTCCTTACCCAAAGCCTGCTGAACTCCTATCTCTCCCTGAAAGCCCAAGCAAAGGCCCATCCTCCACAAAGCCTCCCCTGACCTCCCCCTCAGACTGGTACAGCACTTTGTTTCCTACACCTCCAACAATCTATGTATTCTGTGCAGCATGGCTCTCTGTGCTTGTATCTGCTCAGCCTCCTAGACTGTGAAGGTCTAGGAGGACAGGGAACACGTCTCAGACAAACTTGTCCCTAGCCTAGTGCTTAACACACAGTAGGTCTTCAATCCACATTTGCAGAAGGAAAGTAGGAAGGGAAGAGAGGCCATCCAACCTTGCCCCTCCCGTTCCAGGACGAGGATCTCACCTTCAAAGTGTTTGTTGGTCCGAAGCCGCATGGGATTGATAAAGAACTCCACGAAGATGTAAAAGGCGATGAGCACCAACAGAAGGACCCCCAGAAGGGCTGATACCACACTGTTCAGGAAGAGCCTGAGAGAAAAACAGATGGCAATTCGGCACTGGCCAGGACAGCTGCGGGCCTGCCCCAAGAAAGCCACAATGACCTCCGCCAGAATGACCTAGTCCAGAGGCCTGGTGTCCGAGACCTCTCTTCCTAGCGCCAACTTTGGGGAAGGCAGTTAACCTCCCTCAGCCTCAGGTTTCTCACATGTAAACTAGGCATGACATATATGGAATATATCCAACTTGCACAGATGAAGCACTGAGTCTGGAGGCAGGATGACCCGAGTTCAAATGTGGCCTCAGACATTCACTAGCTGTGTGACCCTGGGAAAGTCACTTTACTATTGCCTACCTCAGTTTCTTCAACTGTAAAAAGGGGGTAATAACAGCCCCTACCTCCCAGAGCTGTCGTGAGGATCAAATGAAGTAATATTGTAAAGCACTTTGTGTAATGCCTGGCACACAAGAGGTGCTACATAAATGCTAGCTATGATGATGATGATAAGGGTGGCCACAGGATCATAGGACTAAGAAGCCAGAAGGAACCTCAGAGACCTAATCTAACCCCCTCCTTTCACAGATGAGCAAACAGGCTCAGAAATGTTATGACTTCCCCTCAATGGGCAGCAAGCAAGCAGCAGAGCCGGGGTCTGAAGCCAGATAGGCAGATGCTGCTTCAGACTCAAGACCACCTTCGCCAAGGCCCTTTGGTGCAGAGCAAAGAAAGCAGAAGCGAATGATTGATAATGTGCACAGGGCGGCGACTGTACTTTTTAAAAACAGCGACAAACCTGGTCAAGTCCACAGGCAGAAAAGGTCAGCATGGGTTACAGAACAAGTAAGATACTCTCCTTGTTACCTTATTAAAACTTTGAGAGAGGGGGAGAGTTTTAGCAAGATGTAAATAGTTTAGAGTTTATGATTTTATGTAGGACTTTTTTCTTTATTTTTGTTTATTTGATTTTTTTTCTGAAATGGTCATCAAATAGTGGCTGGGATTGCACTGGTCTCTGGCAGTAGTGCTTCTTGAACTGTGGGTCTTGACAGTTTAACAAGTGCTGAAGGGGTTGCCAAGTGGAAAAAGTTTCTCAGCCCCTTTTCCTAGGCAGGCAGCAATCACAGGTGTTGCGAGGCCTGAGGGCATGTGCAGTGCAAAGTGTGCATGCTGTGTGTTCAGAACCAAGGCTGCTGTGAAGTTGCACGATACAACAAGGGCAAGCACTGCCAGAAACACCTCAGATTCATCACGTGTTTGATTTTGGATTAATTTTTGGGTGTTGCATGTTCAGAAACCTTTTATTGCTGCCAAATTTTTCAAGACCCCATATGGGGTCTTGACCCACAGTTTAAAAAGCGTTGGAGAAAACTCCCTCCTTCAATGAAGGTTCTCAACTTGCCTAGAACCCTAAAAGGCTGCGTGGCAGAGGCAAGACTTAAACCCTCTGGCCACTAGTCCATGCTTATTATTAAGTTATTAAGAAATAGGTAAGAGCAGCCCAAGATGAGAAGGCCAAAATGTAAACACTGATGAGAGACCCACCAGTGTGTCAGAGTACCAATTATTAGACTTAAATGAAAAATCATTCTGAGAGATGGGAAAAGGGAGGGAAATTTAGGTACTGTAAAAACAAAAGACAAACATACAGTTACTAAATTATTCTAAACAGATTCTGGAATCAATGAGTAAATCAGGCCCTTTTACCAGCTGAGTGGAAACCAAGGCCTACAAGAATGGCCCTTCCCCCTCCCTGCAGAGGGGGGTGGAGCTATTTAATGGAATTAGAGGCAGCAAACACAGCATCGGCCACCTCCGTAAAGTGAGGAGAGAAAACGTAGAGGGAGAAGTCTGAGGACACCCAGAGAGGAGCACCCAAAAAGCAGAGAAGCTCCTTCACCCCGTTCTGACCTGCAGACCAAGGAATGCTCTCTCACAGACCTGACAAGCTGCCATTCAGCCTCTGCTGGAAGAGCTCAGGGCTTGTGTGTCAAACCCGTGGATAACCTGCCTCAGACAGGCTTGGACCCGATGGCTTTCCAAGGCCCCTTCCAGCCCGACAACTAGGATCCTGGGAGCAGGACCCTTCCTCTGATCAACCATGAAAGCATGAGACACTGTCAAAAACTTTGTTGGAACTGAGGATAAACTACACGTCCAGAAGAATCTGTTATTGATCTGTTGTTCTTCAGTAGTGTCCCACTCTCCCTGGCCCCATTTGGGGTTTTCTTGGCAGAGAAATTGGAGTGGTTTGCCATTTCTTTCTCCAGCTCATTTTACAGATGAGGAAACTGAGGCAAACAGGGTTATTTGAGCTGTCCAGTGTCACACAGCTAGTAAGTATCTGAGGCCAGACTTGAACCCGGGAAAAGAAGTCTTCCTGACTCTAGGCATGGCACTCTTTCCATTGTGCCACCTCCAGAATAATGCCAGTCTAGGAACCCTGTTGAACAGCCCTCTGTTGCCTGCGGCACCTTTTTATCTTGGGTAATTTTCATTCTTCCCTAATTGGGAAAGAAAGGCAGTGGGACCTAAAAACTGAGGAAACTAAGAGAGTCAAGTTGGATACTGTGCCATCCCAACAATATCTCATTCGTCCCTCTGCTTTTTCCCATGAAAAATAGAAAATCAAGTTCTTCAGCCAAACAGAAGTGTTTAGAATATCTGTGCTGCATTGCTCCTCCCGCTCTCCAGCCCCTCTGGATGGTCCAAAGAGAAGTGTGGACGCTGAAGTAATATGATTTATACCAAAGCAAACCCAAGGGGTCATCCCACCAAATGAATGTCACTCTTTTCAAGAGTCTTCATGGGAGGCAGGGTGGTGCAGTGGGGAAAAACAATGGCTCCAAGTCGGGGGATCTGAGTTCAAAAGCACCTGACATTTCCTACCTTGTGCAATCATTTCCCACCTTGTGCAATCATTTCCCTTCCTTGGAGGGAAAATCTGTAAAACATAGGGCTAGACCAAGGACCCCTGACGTCCCTTCCGGCCCTAACTCTGCGATCCTACAATCTCAAACAATGCTACCACTGTTCTAACCGTATCTAGATTTCTCTCTTCCAATGACCGTCAGAGCCTGCAATGTATCCTTTTAAATATCACCAGGAGGGAAAGTCTTTATCCTTTGGGGGCAGGAGAGCTGAAGTTACTTGGGGAGTGGGGTGGGGGGGTGGAGGCGAGTCTTACTGGTAAGGGGTGGAGGGAAGATTAGAGAGTGTTCAAAAAAGGACGAAGGCTCTGTGACTTACAGCAAGTTACGGCCCTTCTCTGTAAATGAGGGGCTGACTTGGCCCATCTCCAAAGTCTCTTCCAGCCCCACTTCCAGCCCTAGCACTGGAGGTTTTAAGGTACCTTCCAGGTCTAACTTTCCAGGCATGTTTCCAAGTGCTTCTCTCTCCCTTCCTTCCTAGAAGCAGGCAAGAAGCCAGGCCCATCAGCTGAAGCGTCACCAACTATTACAACTGGAAAAGGTGCCCGAGGAGGTGTGCTTGAGGGGCGCCCAAGCCCCCAGAAGGCCTCCCCATCTCCTCTGCTCTTACCAGTAATTCCTCTCACCCACGCAGTTGTTGAGCCATTTGCAGTGATGGTCAAAACCACACACACACTTGTTGCAGGCACTGCAGTGCTTCGACCGGGAGCTCCTGCCAACAGAAGCTCCAGGTTAGTCTGGGGAGCATTTTGTCCCAACCCCAACCCTGTCTCAGGCACAAATACAGGAAGCAGTGGAGGAAACCCATGGAAAAGTGGCAGCTGGGGGGGGGGGATGACGGGGCACAGAGGATATAGCAAAGGACTTGGGAGTCAGGAAAACCAACGCTCCAATCCTGCCTCGGACCCTTACTAGCTGTGCAAATTGCTTCACCTCTCCATGCCTCAGTTTCCTCATCTGTAAAACGAGGATAATAACAGCATCCACCTCCCAGGGCTGTTAACCTATGTAAAGCATTTGCAAACTCTGAAGCCTGATATAAATGCTAGCCATCGTCGTTGCTGGTCCTTCGTTTTCCAAGAGGCCCAATGACATCATGGGGAGAAAGCCAGTGGGAAGACAAAAGTGAGGACAACTGGCGATGACTTGAAATGCAGTAGATGACCCTGGTGTCTCTGGATGTCCAACCAAGCTCCAGGCTCCTGCTTAGAGCCCTGCTTCCACCGCCTTCACGGCCGCTGGAACAAGCTGTTCCCACCCACCTACTCCATCAGGGGAAGCCTTCAGGTGCTTAGACAGACACCCCCTAACTCACTGATGGGCTTGAGGCCTGTCGGTTACTCTCGGCCTGGTTTAGCCCATTTGCCAACAGGGTTTTACCAGGGTGTGGCCGCTGTGCATACTACAGCTTCTTGGAGCCACAGGTGAGAGCTGGGTGACAGGCGGACACCAAAGGTGAGTGGGCAGCCCTCACACCAGAAGCGGTAGTCCTCCCGAAAGACCCCGACACCCCTGTTGTTGTTATTATTACACAGTAGCAGGACTGCTATGTTGTTACTGTTACTTATTACTCAACAGATTTTTTGATGGATTGACCACATGGGGTATGATGGTCTGCATTTCCTTATTTCTGTCAAAGGCATTCTTGAAGTATAGAAAGAACACAAGACTCCTGGGACTTGGATCCTAGGATTATAGATTTAGAGGTGGAAAGAACCTCACAGACCACCTAATTCATGGCTGAGGACTCTGAGGGAGAAAATAAGCATTGACAAAGTACCTACTGTGTACTGGGTACAAATATTATCTCATTTGATCCTTACAACAACCCTGCAAGGTAGGTGCTTATGATCTCCATTTCACAGCTGAGGAAACTAAGGGAGACAGACTGAGTGACTTGCCTGGGGTCACCCGACTAATAAGTGTCTGAGGTCAGATTTGAACTCAGACCCTGAGTCCAGACCCAGAACCCTATACCCTGTTGGTGACTTGCCCCGGATCGCACAGTTAGTAAATGTCTGAGGCAGGACTCTGAAATGAGAGGTCTTCCAAGCCTAGTACTATATTCACTGTGCCTCTTGCTGTCAGAATCTGTTCTGATTCTTCTAGTCTCCTCCACTCTACTGATAACTCGTTAGCTCTGTGACTGTAGGAAATTCACTTTCTCTCTCCAGGTCTCATTCCCCTATCTGAGACATGAGGAGGTTGCATTAGATGAAGTCTTAAGACCCTTTCCAGCGCTAACATTCCACATCCTGACATCCCTTCCAGCTCTGCCATTCTTTGTCCTGAGGTCCCTTCTCAGGATGACTTATCTACAATCTGAGGTCCTTTTCAATTCTGACATCAGTAATTAGTTCTGGAAAACATTAGAGGGAGCAGATAGCTTCAAAGGAACACTATAATGGAGCAATCAGCTAAGTGATCTAATATGTTTGGCCGTGACAATATTAGGTAGGAGACAACATCCTAGGGTCCACACAAGAAATCTTTCCAAGCATCACAGAATCTCAGAGGAGGAAAACAACCTCAGAAGTCTTACTGTCCAAGCCCTACCTGACAAAGAAGCTCTTCTACAAGGTGACTGATGAGATAAGCTTGAGGAGAGTCATCACCTAATATGGGCTGAAGCAGCACGCACTCTTTCACCTTCTATTAAAGCCCCCCTCCTCTGACTGAACCCACTCTCTCTCGAAAGCTCTTCCATTCCCAGAGAAGTTCTTCCATTTTCCCTCTGAGCCGCCCTGACGTGTTATCCCTGCATCGATATCTGGGGTCATTCTGGAGTGCCTAGAAGAACCACCTCATCCCTCTTGCTACAGAGCTGACAGGTGGACCATGCACCCTGGAGAATGCAGACAGCTTCATCCCCAGGGTTGGTCTGGAAAGTCTATCAGCTGCTGCTGGAGCCAAAGCTGCCAGGACTTCACTCAAATCCCCAAGAGAAGCTGTCAGTTCAAACTTAGAAAAATCCATCTGCCTCACCCATATTTTTGCTCAGGAGACTAAGTGGTCCGGCCAATCTCTAGGCAGCCAATCAGGCAGCTAGGCACTGTGGGCCTCAAGCCAATTTGTTTTCTTTTCTACTTGGCACCAAGTTCATTTGGGAGCAGATTGAATTTAAGTATCTAAGCTGGTTTTGCCTTTTTAAGTTATAAAAATGAGAGAGAATGACAGAGAGAGAAAGGAGAGGCTGAAAGGAAAGAGAAGAGAGGGAACAAGTATTGAAGTGCATATTGTGGGCCAGGCACTGTGCTAAGTGCTTTACATAATCTCATTTGATCCTCACAACAACCCTGGGAGCTAGGTGCTTTTATCACCTAGAAAACTGAGGCAGATAGAGGTTAAATGATTTGCCCAGGGTCACACAGCTAGTAAGTATTTGAGGCAGCATCTGAACTTAAGTCTTCCTGATTCCAGGTCTATCCACTGTGTTAGCTAGCTGGGCATTTGGAAAAGGGGGATGGTGTAGGATGGAGAGAGGAAGAAAGGAAGGGAAAAAAGGGAAAGAGAAGTGGGAAGGAGAATGGAGAGGACACTTTTTCCATCTTAGCCACAGTCATTGTGGTACAATGGAAAGAACAGTAAGTATTGGCTTTATACCCGAAAGACCGGAATTCGAATCCTGGTTTGGACACTTAAAAGTTGTATGATCTTGAGCAAATCTCATCACTGTCTGGGCCACAGTTTCCTCATATGTAAAATGGGGATAATATCTTAAAATTTTTATCTTACAATATTGTTTTGAAGATCAAATTAAATAATAATGTATGCAATGCTTTGTTAAACCATAAAGCCTTTCCAGGGGAAGAAATCCAAGCTATCAATATTCATATTAAAAAATGCTCCAAATCACTAATAATTAGACAAATATAAACTAAGGCAACTCTGAGGTTCTACTTCTTACACATCAGATTGGCAAAGTTGATCAAAAAAATCGGAAAAATCATAAAGCACCGCAGAAATGCCAATAATAGTCATTACTACTACTACTACTACTACTACTACTACTACTACTACTACTACTACTACTATTACTACTACTACTAAATCCATATTACTTAGTTCCCATGCTTCCACAACCCCTACACATCATTTCTGATCTGGCTGACTCATTACAGGGCTAGGAAGAACCCAGAAGTGCAACATAAAACAACCTTGAAGTTAGCAATGCTGACTCCACATGGGCTGATGAGAACAATAGCTTAGTGTCTTGACTGCATCAAAGTGACAGTTTAACTTGATGGCCAGTTTGAGCACTCTTCAATCCTTCAAGGATCTGTCTGTACTTTCCCCCATGAAGGTATTCCTGCCTCTCCTGGTAACCTGTCCTCTAGGCAGAGCTGAGCCTCCCTCCACTGAGGCTGGTCCACTGTCAACAGGCACCATTGTCAGGTCCATACTCAGGACTCGTCCAGCGTGGTCAGACCTGTCCGAGTTCAAAAACCACTGGCATAAACTTTATGCCCCATGAGACGCTGGAGGAGGGCTTTAGTAGGAGTGCATTATCTCAATTTCACAGAGAAGGAAACTGACATTCAGGAAGCCCAAGAGCCTTGGCACTAACCAGTCTCACAGGTAACAGCCACATCAGTAATCAATAGCAGTGTTTAAACTATAACAAAAGTCTTGTTCTGACTCCATAGCCAACATTTTCTCCACCATAACAGAGACCTCTCTTTTGGCTCTTCAGAAAGACTCCTGGGAGAACATGTGTGGATCACCATGGGCCCACATCCACAATCAACCACAAAAACTACTGTGAGAGTTGTTTAGGTGCTACGTTACCCACAGAAGAAGCTCCGATGCCACTGCACAGCATGTCTCCAGGTAGCTGAGAGCCACCCAGATTCAGATTATTAGAGCTAGAAGACAATGTAGCAATGACCTCATCCAGGCTTTTTGCTGGACAGAAGAAGGAAAGGAGACCAAAAGACATCCATGAACTTACCAAGGTCACACAGCCTGTTAGTGGCAGAGCTCAGACATAAATCAGATCCTGACTCCTAGTCTCAGGAGACACGGGAGAGAATCAGTCCCTACATGAAACGTCTGATTTCTATCAATGTCATTGGAAAGTGAGGGTTCTGCACCTAGGATCTGTGAGATTTTTAAAAAATATTATAAAAACTGTATTTCAGTATAATTGGCTTCCTCTGCAATCCTCTGTATCCAATTTTATGCAGTTATAAACACTATTCTGAGAGGGGGCCCCTTGGCTTCCCCAGGGTCCATGACACAAATGGGAAGAACTGCGGCTGTGGAAAGACCTCAAAGTGCACACCATGGATACATACACACATGCTCACATGGACAGAGAGGTTCTGGTAACACAGTGTTAGCAACAAATATGGTGCTGAGTAACAGAGATGAGCTTCCAAATGTTAGCAATGAGTCATGGATCAAAGATCAGATGGGGCTGTGTACTGGATCGAGGTTGCGCCCATATCCACTAGCGCAGGATCACATTTTTTAGGCTTTTCTGTGTTGCTTTCCATGCCCATGTACCCTAGTTCAATCAGTCCAATCTTTGTGTGACTTACAGCGAAGTCTATGAGAAAGCAGGAGAGTAGATGGGCCATGAGCCTCTGAGGGAGACTCTGAGAAATCTGCAGTGGCTCCAGTGTGGTACCCAAGGGTTTGATCCTAACGTTTTTTTGTCTGGCATAGTTGTGTGTGACTATGGATACTGCACCTCCAGGGATGGCAGTCATTCAAGAGCTCCTGGGGCATGTCCATGTTTCCCTAGGTGGCCTACCTCGCCCGTGATTGAGTCCTATACTGCTTGGGCATCAGGAGACAGAGTTTCTCAAGAAAGACTCTGACAGGGATAATCACGTATTCTGTAGATTTGGCCAAAGTGCCTTGAACCTCATCTTTCACCACTGAGCTCAGCACTCCATGCTTGTTACTAACAGTGATTTCCTGCAGCCCTGTTGTGGAACACTAGGATTCGATATGGGTATTTGCCAAGAAGCCTTAAGTTCCAACTATTTTTTTGAAATTATTCAATTTTTGATATTTCAGGTTTGGATGAGGAGATTATTTCTGAATCTAATATTTTTATTCTTCTAGATACCATTAAATAAAATATAATATAATGTAATATAACATAATGTAATGTAATATAATATACCATGATATATTACATTACATTGTATTATTTGGAAAGAGCACTGGATTTAGAATTAAAGGACCTGAATAATTATTAGCTGTGAGGTCTTGGGCAAATCACTTAACCTCCCTAGGCCTCAGTTTGTCAGCTGTACAATAAAAGGGTTGGATTAGATGATCTGTAAGGTTTTTCCAGCTCTGAATACTATGATCTCATCTTCAGATTATATTTTCCTCTTTACCCTGTAGCAGTTCAACTAGTCCCAAGCACAATCAAGGCCTACACCTCAAAGTGAACTCTAGAATTTTACCACTGTCTAAGATTTTGCAAGTATTCTTTAACATAATTCTGTGACTTTAAGAAATGTGAAGACCCTTGGCTTAAAAGAATTAACTCTTCTATATTTAAAAGAATACTGGGCTTATGGTCAAAGGAAGTGGATTCACAGAATCACAGAATCTCAGGATGTGAAGGAGCCTCTGAGGCCAATTAGCCTGATGTGGACCTGAACAAGAATCCTCTGCAACAGACCCAATAAGTGGTCATCCACTCTAACGAATACTGGTCCTTCCACTTACTAGCTAGGTGACATTGGAAAAATCACTGAATCTCCCAGAGTCAGTTTCTACCTCTGCAAAATGGGGATAATATTATTGACAGGATCACAGGATCACATATACTATTATTATTATTTTATTCCACACATGGGGAAAGAAAAGACTGGAGAGCTGAGAATATAAACACACCCAGGAGTCAGGGGGGCAATTCTGGCGGAGGAGCTGGCCCCTTTTCATGACAGAAATCTGGGAGTTTGGATGTTTACTTACTCACTCGGTGGCACATGCACTGACTCTCTCTCTGCATCACCCTGCCCTCCTCCCCGGGTCCTTCCAAGAACTAGGATAACTCACACGTCCACATCGCAGAGGTTACAGTGCAGATCTTCAATGACGTGAGCATGCTGACTGCGGTTGAAGATGGGCAGGGGCCCTGCATAGCTCTTATCCCTCACGTTGGCATCTGCTGGATCGATGGAGACTGCAGTCAGGTGGACGACGAGATGGCAGATAAAGACAATTCCCATACACTGAGCCCAGATGGTTAAAGACTCACTCTGCATGTAAAATCGGTTAACTGCTACATACTGTGTGGCCATGCGGCTTTCGCACTAAGACTAAGAGTGAGCACATTGCTCCCCAAATGTCTTCCTCTTCTAGCCTCAGTCCCCATAGTATTCCTTGTCCCTGGGGGCACCTGCATACCACACTGCCCATAGCAGCTGTTCAGTGAACTGATTAAATAAGCCCTGGCCTTTATACCTTCAAGACTATCTCCAGTATAAAGCCTCACTCTGGGCTACCAGAAAACTACTGCTCCCATACATGAAGAGGAAGGGATTGAAAACCCCAAGATAACACAAATGAAAAGCGCACTGCACTCAGAAGATTTAGGCTCAGAACCCAGCTCTGGCACTTACCAGCTATGAGACAGGGCAAGATAGTTAACTTTTCTAGGTCTCAGTTTTCTCATCCCTAAAACGGAGCTATACTTGTACTCCCTAACACATGGAGTTGCTGTGAGGAATTCTGAATGCTTTATCAATGTTATGACACTGGAAAAACCATAAGCTATTATTACTAATTAGAAGCAGCCTGGTGCTGTAAGAAGAATGGATCAAGGATCAGGAGATGTGAGGTCTCTTTCCAGTTCTGCTCATACTTGGCTCTGTGACTCTGGGAAGGTCATGTAATGTCCTGGAGGCCAAGTTTCCTCATTTATAAAATGAAAGGGATTAAATGAAACGGGAAGGGCCCTTTTAGCAGTAACACTCTGGGAAGTTGTCTCCTGAGGGCAGATCCCACACCTCTCCACTCTGCTCAGCACAACAGTGTCAATGGAGCACAATACACAGGGAAAGGCTGAAACAGGAACAGAGCACAATCATTTGTCCCGACTATCCTGGCCCCCAGTTACTAATCATGTACTCCTAGAATGCTGGCAGAGGTTCCAGCCTCAGCCAGGGACTGCCAAATGGAGCTAGGAAGTGAGTATGGTGTAATGCAAAGATGACTCGATTTGGCATCAGGAGGCTCCATTTGAATCCTGGCTCTCCCATTTAGCTTGTCTCCTTGGAGCACTTACTTCTCTTTGGCTCTCAGCTCCTCATTTGGAAACTAGAGAAAAGGTCCTTTCCAGTTGTAAATCCTATGATCTGAGAACCCATCATTTGAAATACCAGAAGCAGTAACACCTCCCTGGCCCTGTCACCTTTACTGATCTGACTAAAGCACTGAATGCTGTTGGCAGATTTTTCAGCAAAACCTGAAGCTTACTGGATTCAGTTTCTCCATGGCTGGGGAGGAGGGTTATGGTTGGTGGTGATATTTGGTATGACCTACTTACATTACAATGATCCCTGGGTCCTCCTATAGTCTATCTATGCCAGAGAGCTAGAGAAGGAGCTAATCTGGAGGAGATCAGGTCACCTCAGAGCACTAGGAAGGGGGAAGGTACATCCTGCTAAAGTCAATCAACACAACATGTGAGCACTGATGCTGCCTTTTCTGTATCCAATTTAGTAATGGATGGCTTCATACTAATAATCTACTTGGAGACAACCAAAGTTTTCCTAAACTATACCCAGAGGATGCTACATCCAAAAAAAGGTTTCCTATAGCACCCAGAACCAACCTAGAAATCAGTGGATTGGAAGTCATGTGACCTGCATTTGAAACTTAGTTCATTTATCTACTAGTTGGGTGATATAGTGCTAAGTGCTAATACAGTGCTAAGAATACAAATACAAGCAAAAAGGAAAGTCCCCACCCTCAAAGAGCTTACGTAAATTCAAAGAGTTTACAAAGCTTGGTATATAGGAAACACCACTGGTCTTAAAAGAATTAATCACTACATACTTCTGGTGATTCAAATGAGCATCAATGACATTGACAAAAAGAATCCAGAAAACATTGCTAAAGACTATGACATCTTGGGTAAGAAATGGAAAGACAAAAAAGGAAAAGGATCCACATGTACAAAAATATTTCTAACAGCTCTTTTTGTGGTGGCCAAGAATTGGAAATCGAAGGGATGCCCATCAACTGGGGAATGGCTGAATAAATTGTGATATATGAATGTAATGGAATACTACTGTGCTCTAAGAAATGATGAGCAAGATGATTTCAGAAAAACCTGGAAATACTTGCATGAACTGATACAAAGTGAAGTGAGCAGAATCAGGAGAACATTGTTCACAGTAACAGGAACATTGTATAATGATCAACTGTGAATGACGTAGCTATTCTCAATACAATAATCCAAGATAATTCCAAAGGACTCATGATGAAAAATTCTATCCACTTTCAGAGAAAGAACTGATGGAGTCTGAATGCATATTGAAGCACTATTTTTGACTGTCTTTATTTTCATGAGGTTTTTTTTGGTCTGTGTTTTCTTTCAAAACATGACTAATATGGAAATATGTTTTGTATGATTGCACGTGTATAACTATATCAAATTGCTTACCATCTCTGGGAAGGGGAAGAGGAGGGAGAGAGGGAAAGAATTTGGAACTCGAAATTTTAAAAAATAAATGTTAAAAATTGTTTTCACATGCAATTGGGGAAAATAAAATATTATTAAAAAAGAAATTAAAAGACCTTGGGCTTTAATCATTGCTGTTCATCAAAGACAAAAGATTAAAAAGAAAAAGGTGGATTTGGGCATTGGGTTAAGATTGTATCTAAGAATGAGATTTGGATTTCTGGATCACAGCTTAAAATAAAAGAATGACAGGCTCCACAGGGATGGACTGCACTAACAAGGGCTGATAATAGTGTATCTACCCCCTCCTCCTTGCTTCTTTGCAGAAATGTGGGACTGTGGGTTTAGAACACCACTTAAAATGTCAGGCTTTTATGAGGTGTTGGTTAGTTTCACCAAACTGTTTCTTTATCCTTTTTTTAATGCTTTATTATATCCAATGGCTCTCTTTGAGAGTGAGAGGGAAGGGGCACATTAGGAAAGGCATGAAACAGGGAGGCCGGTTAGAAGGCTACTGTGCAGCAGGGGGTCATGGAAAGAGCATTTAATTAGGAGTCAGAGAACCTGGACTGAAATTCCAACTCTACTACTTATTACCTATATCAATGACCTGGAGTAACAAATCACTTCACTTCCCAAGCTCTCATTTTCCCCCTCTGTAGAATGAGGAGATTGGACTAGAAGAGGATCGCTAAGATTTCTCCTAGCTCTAAACCCTACTTACCCTCTGATTCTGATGATAATAATGGCTAGGCCCTGGGGATGCAAAGATTAAAAAATGGCCCAGTCCCCTCAAGAAAGATGAGACATACATAAATATCACCAGTATAATACCTCAATATTTTAAGGATTCGTTATTTCATCAATATCAGCATTTTCTCCAGAGACCACTATCCCTTTTGGTTCGAGTTGCCACAGGTTAAAAAAGAAAGCAAGCCACCTCAGACCGAGCACCATTCTGGTGATATGTAAGTCTCTCCACCCTGAGCTGGCTGGTCCTGAGATGCTCCAAATCCCTTTGTTGAGACTGTCCTTGAAGGCCTCCAGCTTTAGGACCTGCCAGAGCTAGTATTCTACAGATATAACTAGGGTCACTGCTATGGAGGAATTCTGATACATAAATGATCTTAAACCAAATCACACCTCAAAGCCCCTGAGGCATTTGCTGTTTAAGGGAACTCTACAGGAAATTCTTTTGTAAAGTAGTTAATTCTTTATTACATTCACCCTGTTATTTATATTTTGCGCCAAGCTGGCTTTCCAGATACTGAGTTTACTTAAAGTGATTTGCACTCATAATAACCCGGTAAATATTACTTCTCTTTCAATAGCATTTAATGTTTAACAGTGTCTATCTCATCAGATAATAGAATCTCATAAAAATGCAGTGAGTTAACTCTATTACTAACACTTTTACATATGAGGAAACAGGCTCAAAGAGAGTAAGAAGTACTGAATATCATCACCAAGGGAATTTTGAGATCATTTGGTCACTCTCTTCTCATCACTGCCTCTTAGGCTCCCTAGCTTCCTTCACCACAGCCCAGACGCCATCTCCTACAAGAGTCTTTCCTGAGCCCCTTGAGATTACTTCGTGTACATCCTACGTTTACTTATCCATAGGCATGCTACATCATCCCAGTAAAATGCAAGCTTCTTGAGGTCAGGAACTGTTTCATTTTGTCTTTGTGTCACTGACCCCCAGGACAGTCAATGCCTTGCCCATGGTGGAAGCTTCATAAGCATTCATTCAAGACCCCAACTCTTATTTTACAAATGAGGAAATGGAGGCTCTGAGAGGGGAAGTGCCTGGCCCCTAGTGAATAGTTAGTTGGTGGCAGAGCTGGACCTTGCCTGTGCACACTGACCCTATATTCTACCTTCTTCAGAGCCATGTTAAGTCCCTCAAGAAGCCAACCCCCTTCAAACTGCCAGCACACCTCACCATCTCCCAAGGATACAGCGTAGCCAGCAGGCACCCACGGGTGAGGCAGGAGGGGAACGAGGATCCCAAAGCCGATCAGAGCAAAGAAGAGGTACAGCAGCCAAGCAACGATCTGGAATGGGTGTGGGGGCCAACTCCAACCATTCCTCCGAGAACGCTGGCCACAGAGTTCAGGAGGTGGCCCACTGCCCTTGTCTGATGCGGTCCATTCGGGCTTCTCTGGAGCTGTCTTGTTAGAGGGCTTGTTGCAGATGTTCATCTCCAGGGAAAAGAGAAAAAGGAAAATCCTATGAGCATTAGCGCCTGCAGACACTGGCCCCAAAGCCCAGAACCCCAGTCAAAGCCCTAGGGAATAGGAATTTTTTGTATTTATTTTGTAAGCAGGTAGACTGAGATGTACAGGCTATGGGAGTGGGAGCAGGAGTGCGGGCAGATAACTCACTTAAAAAGCTACAGGGCAAGTCACTGAGTCAAAATTAAATAGGAGTTTCCAAAGGTCAATACTGAATACAGCATACTGGTTTGTTATGTTAAGTGTTTTCTCTTCACATTCATCAAAGCGTAAACAAAGTAAGGCACTTAATCATTCAGCATTGCTATCAGTTGTTGTGCCAATAAGAATGAGAACACCTGCTGATTCTGTTAAGATTAGTTAGTCATCTCCTATTATTGGGTTATCATTAAACCCAAGATCCCCAAACAAAAGGGCTTCTCTACCCTTGGTTAATCTAACAGCACTTCAGGGGCAAGGAACATCCCTCCCTGGAATGCAAGAACTGCTGGAGTGATACCTGGGCCTCTGTCTCTAATCCCAGTCTAGCATACCAATTTAGAGTAGAAAGGCAAGTTTCATCATCATCATCATTATTATTATTACTACCACCTAAGTAACACTACAGCACGTGTTTCCCATGATCTAAGAGAATTAGGAGAAACTTAACACAATGGACCAAAAATCATTATTGTAATAATTATTATGAATATAGCTTGTTTCTACAGAACTGTATAAAGCACCTTCACAACTCTTCGACATGCAGGGCACGGATCATTATCTCTACTTTATAAAGGAAAGTTAAAGCTCAGAAAATTCACAAAAATTGAGAGTTGCAAGGAACCTGTGTGATCATCCTGATTGAAGAAGAATCCTCTTCTACAACATACCCAGCAAGTGGTCACCCAACGCCTGGCTGAAGCCCCCACTGAAGGGGACCCACCACCTCCAAGGCAGACCATTCTGGATCACTCTAATGGTTAACTGTCTTGCCCACAGTGACACGGCTAATAAGGGGTACAACCAGAATGTTCCTGACTCCTAGTTCAGTGTTATTCAGCAGACCATGCTGTTGCCAGGTGGGCTGGCTATGCCGAGCCCTAGATCTCAATGGCGTGGAGCTAATGGTTGAGATCCCATTCCCCTCTATCAGACACTTACACACTTTGTGGGATTACATGTCCCTAAACAGTTCTATTCAAATGTTGTTTTTTAGAATCCACTGAATAAGTATATAAGCTCTTCTACGCAATATGCTCTTTGAGTCAGCTATCCAATGCTTAGGGGAAGTCTACAAGGTCATTAATGAGGCAGTCCTCAGATGGCAGTTACTCATGTTGTAGGCTTGCTACCTAGGAAAAAAATAACTTCTGAAGCATTTACCTTACCTAACAAACTTAATCCTATAAAGAGAGAGCAACTGCGACACACCCTAGTAGGGGTGGAAGGACCATCGTTAAGAGAAAGAGAATCCTAATTTACTGACCTGCACCAGCCAACCACAAAGGAATGGAGTCTAGGTAAGTCTTCCCTCTGTGTGAGGATAGCGCCTTACATAGCTAGAGACATAGGTTCAGGTGTCACACTAGACTAGCCCCATATGCACAACAGATAGCTCTCAGAATCTGCAGTGATCTACACATTTGTCCATGTGCCCTTCAACAATTCAGTCTTCTTCTCTGGAGCTTAATTTCTCCACTTAAAATGAGGGGGGTGGACTAGTTGGACTTTAAGGCCTATACAGCTCCAAATATATGATCCTACAAGTGTTATAACTTTTATAATTTCCCATTAACACCCTTTACAAGCAGGAAATTCTTCCTTAGAAATAATCTCATTCTTTCCTGCTACAATTAAAGCCATTTCCTTAATTCTTTACAATGCTGATACAGAATAGCTGGAGACAATGTTCCTTAATAACAACCCTTCACATATTTGAACATCATCAAGACTTTTAGAATCACAGAATCTCAGCCTTGAAAGGGCCCATCTAGTCCAAGATGCAAGAATCCCATTTACTCTTAAACTTCTCTGCTCAAGGCTAGATCTACCTTTCTTGGCATCTTCATAAAATCCCTGGTCTCAACTCTTCAATTACTTTCCTTAGCCTTCTTAGAACTCTTTCTGATTTCTTCACATTTCCCTAGCTGTGAGCCTCTAGCCTGGAAACTACATGAAATGCAACTACAAAGTTGAAATTCTAGTTTTCAAAAATGAGAGGAGCAGAATGTATTCACAGAAATAACTCTTCCCCATTAAAGCTGTCATCTTGGGATATTACAACCTTATCATAACTATGCTTCCATAGCTGAAATCATTTTTAAAATTCCTTTTTAGGTACTTACATCAAAGCCTGAATCACCATATATGAATGCATCTTAATAAAGATGCATTTATTAAGCGCTTACTGTGTTCCAAGTGCATCTCACTACTGGAGAGAAATGTGAAGCACCCCTTTCCCTCAGGCTTCATAAACTGCCAATTGTAGAGAGCATTGGGTTATAGCGCGAGGCTCGTGGCTGACTGCTCCCTGGGCCACCAACCCTCCGGCCAGTGTCAAGACCAGGGCCAAGATTGTCCAAGCTCCAGCAGCTGCCATGGCTGATCTTCCCTGAAACTGAGGCAGCTGAAGGGAAAGAAGAGCTGGGCCTCCCTACCCCATCCAGGTGCTGAGGCCAAACTGCCATGAACAGCTCTTTTAACTCAGGCCCTACACTTTCTTTGGCATATTCTCAGTGTTAGTGAATCTTCATTGTAGAACCGATTGTATTTCTGGACTTAGCCAAAAGATATTTCGATCAAATGAAGTTTTCTAAAATGCCAATTTGTAATGAGATTGTGTGAAAGCCCCTTCCTCTTCCTGGTCTCAGTTTTCTGTTCTGTAAAGGGATGGGAATGTACCCAATAATGTTCTTTTCTTACTCTGACAACAGCTGTGTAAACATGGACAAGTTATTTCACTTCCTGAGGCTTCCTAATCAGCAAAATGGATGTGATATTAATTGCACTACTTACTTTGTATAGTTGTTGTGAGGATCAAATGAGATAATGTAGGTAAAATACTTTGTAGACTGCAAGGCAACATTTCTATGCTAGCCATTATTTCGATGTAATTTTTTCATGTGACTTGTTAATGATGTCTTTAATGGCAGTATAAAATAACATTTAAATAGCACTTCAAGTTTTACAAAATGCTTTTTTCCCCTAGCATCCTCTTCCAGCCTTAGTCCTGCTCCTCTAGGGGTAACTAACTTACGACCCATTCCACTAACAGCAACCACAAGAGAGGGAGCATCACTGGTTGAAGTGAGCAGAACCAGGAGAATGCTGTACATTGTAATAGCAACACTGTGCAATGATCAACTGATAGACTTAGTTTTTCTCAGCAATACAATGATCCAAGACAATTCCAGAAGACTCATGATGACAAATGCAGCATACTATTTTCACTTTTTTCTGTTTTGTTTTTGGTTTTTCCCTTTTGTTCTATTTCTTTCACAACATGACTAATGTGGAAATATATTTAATATGACTGTACATGTATAACCTATATCAGATTGCTTGCTGTCTTGGGGAGGGGTGAAGGGAGGGAGGGAGGGAAAAAAATTTGGAACTCAAAATCTTATAAAAGTGAATGTTGAAAACTATTTTTACATATAATTGAAAAAAATTAAATACTATAAACTATAGGGGAAGAGAGAGAGTATCATCAGAATAAGTAGATAAAGTCTCCAAAGTGAGTATTTTGAAGGGCAATATTTATTTGAATGTCATGAATTCAGATCTATTTGTTTTTAAAGCTGCCTTGTTATATTTAGCCATACAAATAGACAGAATCCATTTCTTGAAGAGCCAGCTGAGTGGGCAGCACTAGAAGCCATAGACAGAGTGGTTTAAAAGTCATCCATGCCATCCAGTCAGAGGCACAGCAATGCCCAAAGTCTAGGTGCCTTTGGCAGCAAGCCATCGACAGTGGGAAAAGTCTCCAGACTGGAGACCACTGTTTGGCCCGGGGTGATGTTTGTCTAAGGCTTTCCTGCCAGTGGGCGAAAGGAAGTGGGGGGGGGGGGGTCATGCCTGACAGCAACTAGCCAAGGCTGCCTCTAACAGAGCCCTGAATTTCACCAGAAACTGAAGCCAGCTGGCCAAGAAACAAAGCCTGACCTCAAAATCTGTGCCAGCTTTTAACAACTTAGGACAATTTCATTTAAGGAGTTTATGGCCATGAATTCCTTCGACATGGATGATTTTGATTTTGAAAAGGAGGGAGGGGACAAAGGCAGACACAAAAGCCCCCACATCTGGGGTATAAGATGTGTCAATGAAATCCAGATGAGTTCCCCAGGCGGCTGGCTCCTCCCCTTTCAGCACTTCCCTGGGAGACCGAGCCTGAAAAGAAACTTCTCTACTCTGGGAGACAACAATGCCAACTGCGTGCTGGTTGTTCAGGGCCAGAACCAAGCATGGCCCAGAAAACAGCTCTGCCACCCGGGGTGCGCTCTTCCCACAGGAACATCATTAGCAAACAACAACTGGCCTCCTCACAGCTCTGCCCGCCTACACGAAGAGGTGAATGTGAAAGAGACACTTTCTTGGTACTTGGAGAAAGCGACACAAGGTCAACAAAATGACGGACTTGCTACAGTATAGGTGGTAAATGCTAAACACTCAAAACACTGACCACAATTTTTTTTTCTTAAATTCTTTTTCTGAGCCCAGGGCCTGGCACATAGTAAGCACTTAATAAATGCTTGTTTCCTTTCTTCCTTAAATTTAATATGGGATGACCTTGTGAAATAAAGAGGTAGAGAAGGAAAGACAAGGGGAGAAGGAGACAAAATGTACTTTTGTCAAGCTAATAAGGAAGCCAGGAGAGATCAGGCCCCGTTAGGTTTCTATTCTGCCTCCTCCAGTGACCTCATTTAAAGGTTCAACACATATGGATGTGTCAAGCAGTCTTGGATATTGCTCTGGAAGAAAATCCAAAAACACCTATTGTGATGGGAGTGTGGAGGGAAGAAGAATCTATCTGAGAGTAACTTCTTCCTTCTCTAAGGGTCCATATACTACATCTAATACTCTAGCCTACCCAGTCCATCTCCCTTAACCACCCCAAACCCCAATCCCTTGGCAAAGTCCTTATGTCCATGTTCACCCTCTCTAGGTTGTCCCTCACCATGTCTTAACCCCTGAGACTTTTTATCCTACCTACAATTTCCCTTGTCTTCACCTATCCTTACCTCATGACCCACCTTGGCTAAAAGTTTCCTAAGCCCTATTAACTTGCTGTTCTGTTGCTCCAGCTCCAAGCTTCACATAACTATTCTCCACCCACCACCCCAGATTGCTAATCTAAATTCTTGTCATCTTGTAAAAGAGTGGAGGGAGACTTCTCATACCCACAGACTACATACCCTGCAAACGCTGGTTTCATGCCCCTTCATCTCACCATTCATCTCGATACTCTATAGTCCGTGGATTACACCCAGCCTTCCAACCCCATTCCAGTTCTCTCTGTGTCTGTGTCTGTCTCTGTCTGTCTGTCTCTCTCATACTCACTCACACACACACACACACACACATATACTCCTTGACTCTCAGTCCACTACATCCATCACTCCTTTATGTTTCCAGATCCTGCCCCTTCTCTCTCCCCTGTACTTCTCTTCCTTCCCCACCATTCCCATGCACATTTCACATCAAGAAACCCCCTGGTTTCAAAGCCTCTCTGCTGCTTACTATCTGTATGATCTTGGGCAAGTCAATTAACTTTCCTAGGCCTCAATTTCCTCATCAGTAAAATGAGGGGCTTGTACTAGAGGCCTCTGGGGTTCTCTGGCTCTAGTTCTATGACCCTTCCAAAAACTCCAAGTCCCAGAGTCCTCTTGACATCCTCTTATGCTCCCCAATTCTGAATTCCACCCAGTGTTTTCCCCAGGTGTTTGTATCCCTGGTTCCATGTCCTCCACATCCTCCCAATTCTCTCTCCCCTTTAGCTCTATATACTTTACCTCTGTGTCCCTACATACCCTAGATTCTACTCCAGTGTCCACTATCCCCTCAAGCTCCCTATTCCCACTCTGTCCTGGAGAGTTGTGCTCCTTCCTCCATCTTTCCCTGTTCCCATCCTTCCTTTAGCCCTTCTCCTTCAGCCCCACATCTTCTCCCATACTCCGTATTTTACTTCTTGTACCCTGGGTAACCAGACCTCTACAGCCTCTATCACCTCTAGCCCCCGTCCCTGTCTGGCCGGCTATGTGTCCCTCTCTTCTCCCCATAGCCACATAGCCACATTGGTCTGTTTATATTCCCTTGGCTTAGCTCTCTGCCCCCACTTCACCTGTGCCTATGTCCTGATTTACCACATTCATCCTGCTGTCCTTCCACCCTGCACCCAGTGTCCTGGCTGGCTTGGCTGGCTGTGTTGTCACCTCCCACCTTGTAACCAGGACACACGGAGGAGGGAGGGAAGAAGACGGGTTGAAGGAGATGGGCTAAGGGAAGGACATGAGCAGGGAAAATGTCGGTTAAGGGACTTAGGACCTGCTAGAATGGAGAAGAAAGGCACAAGAGCTGGAATAAGGACAGCACTTGATGTCTCCTGATGCCCCCTACACTCCCCTTGCAACAACCCCCGCCAAGGTGATCAGAGCTGGCCCTCCCCCCACCTCATACCTTCCTTCCTCAAGGTCCCCTGACCCTTCGTGTCCTCGAGTTCCCTGGGCTTTACCCTCCCCTACTCCACTGTACCCACATTTTTCAGCCCTGGTCCCCCCCCCCCCCCGCCCCCCCCCTCCCCTCCCCCCCCCCCGCCTTCCCCCGGCCCTGGTCCCCCCTCTCTTCCTCCGGGCCCCCTCCTGCGCCCCGTGCGCCCAGCCCGGCCCGGGCCCTTGGCTCTACTTCCCGGCCCCGCTCTCACCTTCTCCCGCGGCCCGGCCCGGCCGGGGCCCTCTCCGCCCCGGGGCGGCCGAGGAGCGTCAGACCCTCCTCGCCTCAGCGGCCGCGGCGCCCGGGCGCCGGCTCCGCGACCCCCGCGTCCCCTTCCCCAGGGGCCCCATCGCATCCCTGGAGCCGGTGGAGGAGCCGGGGAGGAGGCCAGGAGGCGGCGGCTTAGACGCGGGCGGGAGCGGCCTGGGCCGTCGAGGCGAGGCCTCCCCTGGCTCGCAGGCGCGGGGCCCGTTCCCCTGGCAACCACCGGGGACTACGGCGCCGCACAGCGGCCAAAGCGCGCCAGACGCGTTCATGCCGCCGCCGAGCGCACGCCGCCTTTCCTCCCACCGGCCCCGCCCCCTTCCATTCTCCAACCCTCCTTAGACTCGTCTCCTGCTGGCATGAAGTGCGCTACCTCCCGGGGCGGCTAGGCTCTTCCTAAAGCAGAGGGGCTCTGGGAATCTGAGGAGAAGACCATCTAAAGGGCGAAGGACGAGGATGTCTAAGGGTAGGGCTACGGGGGAGGGACTCAGGCAGAGGGAAGAGCTTTCTAAAGGGAGGGGCTGCAGCGTCCGACCCTTCGTGACATTTTCTTGGAAAAGGTCGTCTCCAGGGAGTCCCCATTTTAGAGATGAGGAGCTGAGGCAAATGGAGGTTAGGTGACTTTGCCAGGGTCACACAGCTAGTAAATGTCGGAACTCGAGCTGGAACTCAGATCTTCCAGGCTCAGAGCTCGATCCACGGCGTCCCAACCAGTCGTCCTCCTTAGTTAGCCCCACTCTTAGACCTCCCAGCCTCTCCCCCTTAAACAGCCCTACCTCAGACTCTCCAGCCTCTTCTCTCTTAGCCCACCCTAAGGCTACTCCCTTCCCCAGACACTCCGAATCCCACCCACTAAGACAACCCAGCCCCTCCCCTTCAGACAGGCCCACCCTGGTCCTCCCGCAGAGACTCCGACACTCCCTTACTCTAGGATATCCCAAGCTCAACTGTCTTAGAAAGCCGTACCTTTGGACAACCTCCCGAGAGACCCTCCCTAGAAAACAATCCACCCTTACTTAGATATTGCAGCTCTTCTGCTTTATCCCTATCCTTAAACATTTCCGTCCCTTCACAGAACCCTAAAATCACAGCATCTTGAAGCTGGAAGGTTTCTGAGGGCAGACACCCGTTCCTGAAAAGGAATCCCCGATATAGCTGGCACACCAAACCAAGTGCTTCTCCGATCTTTGTTTGAACACCTGCCAGAGGGAGAACTCACGAGGGAGAAACAGTTCTAACTGTGAGCAAACTTTTTCTTCTGTCAAGCCTAAAGTTGTCCCTTCACAACGCTCCTACTTCTGCTCTCCGGGGCGAAATGCCTTCCACCAAGGATCAGTGACATGAATTCAAGGCTGGACCATACTGTTGCTCTTCTCTCACTTTTCTGCAGTTTATCAATATCTTTCCCAGAACTGATACTATTTCAGATGCAACGTCACCTGGGCAGAGGACAACAGAGCTATCAGCCCCTTATTACCTTTCCTTTAGCCCCACCTTTAGACACTCCAGCCCTTCCCCTTTAAAAAGCTCTACCCTCGGTCGCCTGAGTCCCTCCCCTTAGTCCCACCTTAGACATTTTAGTCATTCCCCTTTAGATGGTCTTCTCCTTAGATTCTCAGAGCCCCTCTTCTTCTTCTTTTTTAAATTTTATTTTATTATTGGTGAGGCAATCGGGGTTAAGTGACTTGCCTAAGGTCACACAGCTAGTAAGCATCATGTGTCTGAGGCCGAATTTGAACTCATGTCCTCCTGACTACAGGGCCGGTGCTCTATCCACTGCACCATCTAGCTGCCTCCAAATCCCTCTTCTTTAAGAAGACCCCGGCAACCCTGGGATGGACCAAGGTGCCAGGTGAAGTAGTTCCACTTCATGTAAAGTGTCTCAGCAAAGGTTGTGTCAGGGACTCCAAGCAGGCTGCGTTCTGTGTGGGAGAACAGTGCATGGAGAAGAAATTGGCATATTCTCTGGGCTTCAGTCCAGTGACTACAGATTAAAAGTGTCCTACCCCTGTTTCACCAGTCTATGTGGAGCTGACCAAGGAAGAACACTTTGGAGGTGCCAATAATCGAATTGATAGGAAAACTCCAGGAAAGAAAAAGTAGATGAGAAGAGACAAGTACTATACTGATGGAAGAAGGGCAGATGGGAGCCCAGCCTTTCCTCCTTTCCATTCAAGGGCTCTTGGAACAAGAGAAATAACGTCAAAATCTCCAGTGGACTGCTTTGGGCAGAGATTATTAGCCTCGGGTTGGCGGACCTCCCCCAGAGTTCATGGAAAGACTTTAGGGAGTCTGAACTTTTTAAAAACATATTTTAATAACTGTTTCAATATATTTTATTTCCTTTATAATCCTATGTTTACATTTTATTGATTTAAGAATTATTCTAGAAAGGATCCATAGGCTTCACCAACCTGGTAAAGGGCTCCAAGGCACACAAAAAAGATTAAGAACCTCTATTTTAGGGGATGGGGGATTTCCTGACCAGGAGCTGCCTAGAAGGAAAGGTCTACTTGACTATAAACTGCAAAGACTATACACTGTGCTCAATGAGCAAAGCAGAATTGCAGTAGCTCAAAAGAAAAGTAAGGTGCACAAATCTAGAGACATCTCCATCCCAAAACATTCATACAGGATACTTGTGTCCAACCTGTGGTAGGGCCTTCTGAGCTCTTTTATTGGTTTTATCAGCCATAGTTGAACACACTGTACTTTGACTCTGACACAGCGATTTTGTTTTGGTCCTCTTCCAATATGGAGGATAACAACCAGCCAAGCAATAGTAATTGCAGACATATAGCAACTGTATTTTTAGGGTGTTTTAAAATTCTGAACTACATAGCAACTTTAATGTTTGCCAGATGTTTAACATACATTATTTTGTTTCGGCCTGACAACATAAAATAAGCACTAAAAAGATTATGGCTACTGGTGCTCATAGAGCTTAATCAACCTGCCTGTGGTCACACAACTAATAAACCCAAGCCTTCCTGGATCTAGGTCCAGCTCTGAAACTGCTATGCTGGCCAGCATACCTCTCTTGGTTCCTAAGAATCACTAAGTCTTAGAGCTGGATCGATACTCAGCAATCATGATTCTACTCATAGTAAAAATCATCCATATTTACAGAGCACTTTAAAGTTTACCAATGTTTCCTCATGACAATCATGTGGTAGAAAACACAGGCATCATTCCCCCTCTCATTTTATAAATTAGGATAATTGAGGTTCAGCAAGGTTAAATGCCTTCTCTGTGGTCACACAACTAATCAAGTACAGAAGTTAAAACTCGAATTCTAGACCCCCCAGTTCAGTATTTTCTGCTCTATCTAAATCAAAGGTCATCTAGTCTAACTTCCACCTGATCAATAAATCCTCTTTGTAATATTTGAGATACAACCTACCCTCCCACCCCCCAATTTACAGATTAATAAACTGAAGCCCTGAGAGGGAAATTGATTTTCTTCTGGTAGCCTAGCAGAGCCTTTGCCCTGAGGGGTCCCTCGTACTTTTCTGTGTGTTTTTGTTCTTTTTCAGTTTTTGATGCATAATTAGACTTTAAATCAGAAAACAAAACAAATGTAACTAGGCCTCCAAATAGGTAATGTTTTTGTATACAGATTTTATTTTATTAATAAAAAATATTGGTCCAACCAGGCCCTCCCCCAAAATAGGGGTCCTCAGGACTCTTCCACCAAAAGTCATGCTCCAAAATTAAGCCCAACTCCAGGGGTTTGCACATAGATGTGTGCACACAGGTGTGTACTTTGCACATAGATGGTGCTTAATGAATATTTGTTATTGAATTTATTTTGTGGCTGGAGGTTGGGCTGAAGGGCCCTACCTGGAAGCATGTTTCCTTGGGCAGAGGGAAGGGGAGGTAGATTGCCATAGAGATATCCATAGAGATAAGCAGATGGGAAGAGTAAGGCAAGGGATTTCTGAATATCCTGAGAGTCTATTGGTCGGATCACAGTATATAACTTACCTCTCTGGAGTCATCCACATGGGTGGAAGGGCAGGCAGCTCACTGAAAACAGAGATCCTGCTAAGAGAACATAAGCCCCAAAGAGGTAGAGATAGATAAGAATGATCCAACCCTGGACCTTCTCCCAGAAAGACTTGATTTTAAGAAAGAGCTATTCTGGATAGCAGACGGATGTCTGGGCTTTCCCCAGGGGCCTTCCCTCCTCAATCCTGCCAATTTGATCTGAATCCCTGTTTCTAAGGGCCATGACCTCTGACTTCATTCAACAAGGTCAGTAGCCTCTGATTCACAATCCTCCACACCAAGGCACCCACACACTGCTAGAACCTAATGGGAAAGGTACAGATCCCTTAGTCCTGGAATAACCTGGGAAGTTAAAGGAGATAGATTTCAACTCGATATAAGTAAAAAACAAAACTGCCTTGTAAACATAAACACAGGCATACTTTGGTGATATTGTGGCTTCAGTTCCAGACCACCACAATAAAGCAAATATCACAATAAAGCAAGTCACATGAATTTTTTGGCTTCCCAGTGCGTATAAAAGTTATGTTTACCCCCATACTGTAAGTCTATTAAATGCACAATAGTGTTATGTCTGAAAAAACAATGTTGTTGTTCATTCATGTCTGACTCTTTGTGATCCCGTTTGGGGTTTTCTTGGCAAAGAGACTGGAGTGGTTTGCCATTTCCTTCTCCAGCTCATTTTACAGATGAGGAAACTGAGGCAAACAGGGTGAAGTGACTTGCCCAGGGTCACCCAGCTAGTAAGTGTCTGAGGCTGAATCTGAACTCAGGAAGATGAGTCTTCCTGACTCCAGGCTAGGCACTCTGTCCACTGATGGATGAAACGAAGTATGCCTGTAAAGCTATCCAGCTAATGGATTGAGCTGTCCTGCAAAGTAGTGAGCTCCCAGTCACTGAAGTTCTTTAAGAGGAAGCTAGTAACTCACTTGTTGAGATAATGGAAAGGAGATTCAATGCTTCAGGTAGAGTATGGATTCAATCACCTCTGTGGTCTTGCAAATGATTTGTGAAATCCTACACTTTCATGAATACTCCTTACCTTTCACACACACACACACACACACGGACATGGAACAA